CATCCAGCGCTCCGGCAGCTCCCGGAGCTGGAGCTGGCTCCCCACCAGTTTCCTGTTGACGTCACCTGCTATTTCTCCGCTGCACTTTTTACAACTGTTGAGCTTTCAAGGGTAATCGGAGCCAAGCTCGGCAGCTGCCGATGAGGGAACGCGGCTCTACCTTCCCCAATTCCCTCCTCTCGCCTTCGCTGCTGCTCCCAGCCTTGGGGACCCTTTGGGGACACCCGCCCGGGAGGGCTCTGTGAAGTGCGGGCGCTTCGGGCCATGCATTCCCACTAAAAAAAAAAAAAAAAAATCACCTGCTCTTGCAAGAAGTGCCGTGCGCTGGATCCTGCGGGAATTTTTTTTTTCCCCCTCCCTCCTCCAAGCCCGCCCCCATCCCTCTCTCTTCTGCCANTTTTTTTTTCCCCCTCCCTCCTCCAAGCCCGCCCCCATCCCTCTCTCTTCTGCCAGGCGTGCCGGCGCTGCTCTTCATTTCTGGGAAACCATGGACAAGAAGCAAGGTAGATGTTGCAATTTCCACAACACGTGGTGGGGGAGAGCAAAGGGCTGTTTTTTGGTGCTAAAAGGGGCTGTGTAACTTTTTGGGGTCAATCCACGCGGTTTTGTTACTGCTGGCTGGGGCAGGGGGTCGGTCTTTGCAGCTGGGGATTTATTTTTAAAGCGCTGGAAAAAGTTGCATGTTTCGTGGGGTTAAAACCCTGGCGTCTTAATTGCAAAAAAAAAAAAAAGAAAAAGAATCAAATCTAGCATGTCTGAAGGAAAATATGCAGAGGGTAAAGCTGGCTTCTGGCTCTGGTTGGAGTCGCATTCCTGGGACGCAGGGTTTTCCAGCAGCTCTTTGTGGCTGTCCCCTGCCTGTTGCATGGGAAGGAAAGGTGGGTGCCCAGCAGTCGGGAGCTCTGATTCAGCACAGCCCGAGACGCTGTTTTGGGGCTGCAAGGGGCTTTTTGTGCAGCGTGGTTTTTTCCTGCTGCTCGCTGGTAGTTTTGCAGAAGTGAGGAGCCCCTGTGCAGCGGGACCTCGGCGGGCTGATGTGATGAGTGATGGCTCTCGGCAGGTTCAGAGCCCTTTTTCCACTTCCACAGAGAGCTTTTTCCACTCCCAACAGTGGAAAACAGCACAAAGTGTGCCTGTGAGGAGCTGGCTCTTATGACCAAGCACCCAAATTCCCCTCTCTGCTCTGCACCCTGCCTCAATTTATTTCCTTTTCTTTCCTTCTTTTTTATTTTTTGCTTTTGTTTTTCCTTGATGCTTTTTTGTTCCAGTTCTTTCTTTGCAGCAGGGCTGGGATCCACCCTCCAGCCTTCTGCCCTATCCATGGCAATTGACTCTCCTCCTTGGATCGAGGAGAACCGGGATGCATCCCAAACATTTCCCCCAGCACTAACAAAGCAGCTCAGCTCTCCCTTGCCCAGCACTTCACCTGGGGCTGCAACCAGAGCCCCGGGCAGGCAGTGGTGAGGTTTAATTTCAAAGGTCGACTCAGGCAAATAGTTTTATTTGCAGTTCTTTAGATTGTCCTGTTCATTTCTCTCCGCCCACGCCAGCGGAGTGGGAAAGAAAAACCTCCCGTGGAGAGGTGCAGCCTAATAGGGCTGAAGTCGGTGGTGGCAAAAATGAGAATTCTGGTGTTGAATTAGGCAGTTCCAGGAAATGTCTGGCGGTTCTTAACTAGTGGTGGTTATAGCATGAGAAAAAATCTTGTTGGGCTTTTTTTATTTTTTTTTTCTTTAGGAGGAAATGGTTCCTTTCTTAGCATAAAGGATGCAGTTACGTGCCTGCAGCATCACGTGGGTTGCAATTTCATCCGCACCAGGAACTTCTGTCAGCTAATTTTCCCCTGCCCTGGGTGCAGGGCACTGTGCTGTGTGTGTCTGTGGCTGGCAGCCCTTTCCTGTGCCAGGAATGGTGCCTTGCCATCCTGTGGGTTTGGGGCTGGCAGCAGAGCCCTGCAGCTTGCAGGGATAACCAGGATGTGTCCCCACATTGCCTTGTCCTTCTGCTGCCTTTTGGCCTTTACAGAGGGATCTCTTGAGGGGGACTTGTTGCAGACACCCCTCCTGTAAGAGCCCAGTTACCTGGGAAACTGGAGTTTCCAGGATTTTCAGGTGACATAAGCAGTTGTGCACATTCTAGCAGTTCCTCCTGCAGCGACCCTCCCGGGATCCCAAATGTGGGAGGGATTGTGCTGAGTCTCAAGTGTAGGAGAGACGGTGCCAGGGACTCTCCAGTGGGAAGGAGCTGACAGCAGCTGCCTGCGGGGGCTGGAGGCAAAAGCTGCCCTGCCTGCCACTGCAGGGCTTGAATTGCAGGGTCATGTCATGCCCATCCCACTGCCTTTCTGCTTCTCTCTTTTTTTTTCCCCTTTTTTTTAATTCCCTTCCCTGGTTTTTCCTGCACTCTCATTCCCCAAGGAGGGCATGGACTCTCCTTGGGGAGAGGCACTGGTGCCACAAGCAGTGGGAGAAGCTTGCAGCCAGGAGTATGTCTGGAAATCTCGTGTCAAATTTTAGGAGAGCTGTAACAAATGAATCCGACCTCTGCCTCAGCTCCCTGGCTGCAGGGGCTGCATCCTGGGGGATTTTATTCCTGCAGGCATGGGCTGTGCTGGGTTTTCTGCCCTTTGTAGGTGGCCCGGGCACAGCCTGGGAGTGGTGGTATTAAACCTCCAGTTTAATCGGTGCTTTTTGGGGCTAAGCAGGACAGGCTGGGAAGGGGATGGTTGCTGACTCCAACTCTGAGAAGTCAAGGGTGGTAGTTTGGGAGTACAGGGAAGTGTGCAGGGTGCCTGTGACGGCAGAGTTCATGGCCAGTGCACATCTAAAAGCTCTCCTGTGCAGAGCAGGGGTTGGAACAGGGAATCTCCATGTCCCTTGCTGCCCTGATTATCCCATGCTGCAAATCCTGCCTGCAAGCTTGGGCTCCACTGGACAAGGCACTCTTTGACTCCCAACCCTGCACTGGGTGCTCCCAGCTCCCTCCAGCCTAGTCCTGCAGCCAGAAGGGCTGAGGCCATCCTGCAGGAGCCCGGCCTGGGTGCCCATGGACTCTGCTGCTGCCCTGTGAGTCACGGCTGCGGTGCCAGGGGAGCTGCTGGTGGCACAGAAGGCGCTTTGTGCTGGCTCTGCAGGGTTACTATGGCAATTGGGGAGAGGGAGAGCAAACAGATGGAGCAGAATCCCAGCCAGCACGGGGGGATTTCGTGTAGAGGTCTGGCTGGTAACTGCTGCGTGTGGAGCAGAGACCAGCCCGAGTTTGAGAGCAGGTCCTGGGGGTGAAGCACTCGGCACGGAGCTAAATCCATCCCCTGGGATGGGATGGTGCCCATATCAAGGTCCCCTTGAGTGCAGAAGGACTCAGGGGACCTCAGTTCCTAGATTCTGTTCTTGGCCTCCCACGCTGAGTAATGAGAGGCTGGGAGTGGGAAGGGAAGGCATTTCTGAACCCACAGACAACATCTTTGCTTTGGCTTCATTTTGCATTTGATGCTGTCGTTACTCAACTGGGTATTTTGCAGAGTGCCAGCAGTGGGTGTGTGGGGCTGTTCATAGAACCCCTTCCAGCCCTGCTGGGTGGGTGATGGGGAAGGGAAACCCTGCAGGCTCACAGATTAGAACTTGTGATTGCTCTGACATGGTTCAGGTGGTTTCCATCCAAGCAGGATCAGTTTGGGGTGGAGTTAGCTCATTGACTGTTTTCACTGAGCTGGAAGTTCACATCATGGAAACTGTGCTGGTCTTAGAGCTTATGGCTCAGCTGTGATGCAGGAAAAGTGGCAGATAAGGTGAGGGTGTGGACTGATCAGTGCTGAGCAGGGAGGGATGCTGCTGGTCCTGCAGTTTGGGCCTTTGCAGTAAGTTGCAGACCAGCTTTAATCCACAGCCTCAGTGAGGTCTGCATTTGGGGAAGGACAAGGCAGGAGAAGTGAGTCCCGAGCACCTGTTTTGTCTTGGAGCTGGCAGTGCTGGGGACATGTTGGGCTTGTTCTCCCTTCTGTCCTGCTGCAGCTGCAGGAGCTCTCTCACAGTGCTGCCTCTCCTGCTGAAATCCCAGCTCCTCGCTCTCCCCTCCCTTCCCTGGCAGCCTTTGGAATGCTGGACTTTGTCCACACTCCTGCTCCCAGCAGCCAGGCAGGTAGGAGCTGTTCTGAAAGGCTGTCCAAGGCCACGCTGAGCTGTCTGCTCCCAGCCCCATGCCTGCAGCACACCTTGATATTCCTGCTTTCTAATGGATCTTCCAGCTCTGTGCAGCCACAGCACCTTGAGCTGCAAAGTGCAGCTGCCCCCTTGTCTCTGCTGGGGGAATCAGGACCTCGATGCTCTCAGCTGCTGCACTCTGAGCTCCTTGGGGTCAGTTTATTTTCCCAGGGAGCTGGGATGGAATTTTCACCTGCAGGTTTCTGGCCTGTCCTGGCCCTGCCTGAGCCCCGTTTCCCTCTGTAGCAGTGGGTGTTGTTATCTCAGGGCTGTTTGGAGTTGGGAGGAAGGGGACAAGAGCATCTTCCTGCCAGTCACTCCTGGTGCCTTGTCCTGGTGCCTCAGCCTGTGCAAGCCTGGACTTGTGAGGGGTTCACTGCTGGCTGACAGTCAGCTTTTTTTTGTCTGTTTTTTCCCCTGTTTTCCATTTGTTGTGAGTGGGGTGTCCCCTCTCCTGCTGGGACTAACCCCTTCCTTTTGCTGGATGTCTCATTTCATTCCCTCCATGCCAGATCCAGCTCTGGCTCTTCCCAGGAAGGCCAGGCTGGGGCTGGGGCTATGGGGTCAAGCAGCCTCTGGACAGGGAACATTTTTTGGGAGCCCTGCACATCGCTAATGGCGTGGGGACCTCTTGTGGCTGGAGAAACGAGGATGGGGCCAGGCTTGGCTGTGCTCCCAAAGCCCAGCTGCCTCCCTCTCCTGGAGCTCTCCTGGGTCCATGAGCCACGAGGGGTACAGGGCTGCTCTCTGCTTTGGCTGGAGCATGAAGGCTGAGCTGATGCCTCATTTTTGCTCTTTCAGATTCCAAAGGATCCTTGGAGCCACACAAACCAGGTAAGTGCCCAGCAGAAATTGCAGCTTTCACTCCAGAAAGAGTTTAAATCCCAAAGAGAGGGGACTGTTAATGGCCATGTAGGGTAAAGAGCACTTTTGGGTGTACAGTGCTCGGCTAAAAGACCTGGAAAATGGTCTGTTAGTGCACGCCTGGCTATTTCTACACAGCAATGTTCAGCAGTGTCATTGAGACCCACTTGTGCTCTGGCTCTTGCCTGAAATTTTGAGCAAGTGGTCACTGTGACCTTCGTGGCATTTTGCTGACCATGGTGAGGGGTCCAAGCCCTGCATTCCCTGCCTAGTGGCTGCTGGGAAGAAGGTGCTTGAAGGAAAAAAGCAGAAATCCATTTGCTCACGTGTGCATCTTCTCTTCCAGTGAAAGGCAAGAAGAAAAGGGATCTGAGGATAACATGTGTCCCCATCAAACCACCCATTGCCAACACAACGTAAGTATCTCTGCTGCTTAAAGATGCTCCCCAGAGCTGGATTTGGCACTTCCTTGAGAAGAATGGCCTGTGAAGACTTCCCAAAATCAGCATAGTTATTCTTTTCTCTTAAGCTGTGGCTCGTGTGTGATGAGAAGGAATTGCACATGTGTGTGCAGACACGTGCACAGCGTGTGTCCCTCTGGGAGGTGCCTGTTTGATAGGAAATGTCCTAAAGGCAAAGACTCAGAATCCTCCGGGGAGCTCTCCTCACTCTTTCTGCCATGGCTCTGCCAGTGCCAAAGGGCAAAAGTGTGGTAGAGAGAGTGAATCTGCCTGAGGGAAGAAGAGGGAAGAATTTTAGGGCAGGGGAAGAGAAGAGATGATGGTAGCTGGGCCACGAAAGAAGCCAGACGCACAAAAGTTGGGGAATGTTTTACATGGCCTGAGTATCAGGTTTGGTTTGAGCTGTTTGCTGCTCCTTACCCTGCTAAAAGGAGGACACAGACATCTTACACTGCTGTGCTGTTTGGTGTCGGGGCCAGTGCCCAGCAATATCTCAGGGCACTGGAATTTCTCCCTGCCCTGTTTGCTTCGAGCTGCTGATGCTTGTTATGCCATGGGGGAGAGCCCAGGGTAGCAGTGCTTGGTTTGACAAAGAGCAGACGGATGAAATTCCACTTCCATGGTGCTCTTCCAAAACACTTCGGGCTGCATCGCCATTGCTGAGCCTTGTTTGCTCCAGAAACCTGTTCTAGAGAACTCTCCCAGCTCCAGGAGTGCAGTGAAGTCCCCAAAAGAGAAATATCACTGCTGAAAAGGAGAAAAGGAGAGGCAGGGGAGCTCCCCCACTGATGCAGTGCAACCTCAAACAGCCCTGCCCTGTGTGTGACAGCCACCTCCTTCCCCCACGGGCACATTTGTCTCTGCTCCTGCCAGAGTTTGAATTTCCCCTGGAGAAGGCCTCATGCTGGAGTCTTCAGGGCTTTGCATGCCCAGAGGCTGGTGCAAGCTGTCCACAGCTCCTTTTCTCCCTGCTTTTCAAGCTGCAGTGCAAATATTTGCGCAGTGCAAGGCTTTTGCTCAGAGCCCAAAGTACTTCCTTGAAGCTGGAGGCTGCTCTGATGGGAATTGAGACTAAACCAGTTGTGCAATCTCTGCTCTTAGAAACTCCCAGAGGATGGGGAGAGCCCAGAAGTGAAGCACAAGAGGCAGAACACTCATGGTGGCTCTAAAAGTACCGTGCTGCCCAGAATGGGAAGTGGGCAGCAATAAGGAAAAAAACCATAAAGGACAACTTTCACCTGCCTGGTGTTGTGCAAAGGGTGACACTAAAGTGCTCTGCCTGCCTGGAGCAGGCAGCAGAGTGTACACAAATGATTCACAGGGGAGGAATTACCTGTTGTTCCCTCGCGTGCGTTTCGGGCTACGTGGCTGTGCTGTTACAACACCTGCCTGTCAAAACATGACAGCTGAGCTGCTCTGCCACAGAAACGTCTCATCTCAGCTCCTCAGGCTCCTCTCCCGAGCAGGAATGGTTTCACAGCCTGGTGGTTTGGTGCATGTCTCACCTGGCTGACTCCCCGGGGTTCTCACTGTGCCTCCTGGCTGTGGGGTGAGGTGTTACTGGCACGATTCAAAGCATTTGTGGGTGTTTGGAGGGGGCTGGTTGGAACCTGCAACGAGACATGGGGGGGAAAGCAGCAGCTGAAAGTGCTCAAAGGAATGTGAAACCTGGCTGTGGCCAAGAGGGTGAATGAAGCTGAGCTTTCTCCTGACTCTCTTTTCTTGCAGGCCCCCGAGGAACTTGGACTCCAGGACGTTCATTACCATTGGAGATAAAGTACGTGTCGATGGGGTTTCTTTTTTTGCTTGCTTCCAGTTTGGTTTTCCCTGGGCATGGAGAGCTCTGTGGATTGTGCCTTGCAGCCTCATGGGGTACAGCTTTTAATCTAAACCATTCTAGGATGATCCAACCCATCTGTCCTAAATGAGGGTGGCCTCACCAAGCTCTCAGACTGCCCCAAAGTCCCTTTATCCTGCCTACCCACAGGTCTGTGTTGCTGCCTGAGGCTCAGGAGAAGCTGGGCACAAAGCTTCTCTCTGGTTCTCCAAAGTCTTTCCTGGTGACCTGATGAAAAACACTGCTAGAAATAGCCACTGTCTCTCCTTTATTTTGTTCTCTTGTTATGAGCTCTCTTGGGGCTGCAGAAGCTGTTTGCAAATGAGCTAAAAATACCCTGCATTGGATCAGCCCTATATCTAGACCCTACCAGGCTGGGAGGTGACTTTGGCTGATGGGATCTGGGTCCCTTGGCCTCAGTGCAAGGATTAGGGTTGAGGAGAGGAAGCTTTGGCTGGGTCCGGGGAGCAATCCTGCTGCCTGTGCTGTGTTCCAGCCTGGTGTTGGGTGTAGCAAGAAGTCTGGGATAGATGCTGTCTTTGACAGCCTGGGCACTGTGTGTGCAAGGGGATAGTGCTGCAGCTTAGGGAAAACTCTCTAGAGTCACTTCCTTGCCTGCTCCAGTGTTTGCAGGAAGGGTCTGGTCTGGGTATTTTGGAGTGACGTGGAGGAGAAGAGGACTTGGGCAGGAGTCCAGCTTCAGGAGTGGAGGTGGGTGGTGACCTCTGGTCTGTGGGATCTGCACAGGCCGTGCCCTGCATCCCATTGTCCTGGGAGGGAAGCACCAGCTCTGTGGGTGCATCCATCACCTCTTGTTGCTGGGCAGGGCAGTGCTGGTTCCTGGATCGTGCTGGGAACAGCCAGCTTCTGGGGAAGCCTCGGGGCAAATGCCAGGAAAGGAAAAACACAATAAGCTGGAACAACTGCAGAACACATGTCTGAAAAGCACCACCAGATCCTTCCTGGAGGCCCCTGTGAGCCTGCAGTGCTCCTCTGCCGGCTGCCCGTGGTGGGAGGTCAGCCCTGTCCCCTCAGCCCTGCTCTGATCTGAAATGAGGATTTCAGGATCCACGTCCTGCCCAGGAAAGGGCCGGCACCTTCCTGTGCTGGGCAGAGCATAGCTCAGTGCTGAGCTCAGGCACAGCCCTCCCTCATTCCCTGCCTGCCACATCTGGCTGGAATCAGCAGCCACATCTGGCTGGGGCCAACAAGGGCTGGCAGGAAGGTCCAGCAGACCTGATGGCTGCTGCCTGAGCTGTGGCCAGTGCTGAGGGGCCAGTGCTGGCCAGGGGCCTGGCAGCCACATCTCCCAGCCTGGCTCCTCCACTGCAGAGGCCGTTTCCTCTCTCCCTGCTCAGGGCGTGGCTCCGTATCCGGAGCTGTGCTCATTTCCCACCCTCACTGCCTTTGTGGCCACTGGGGCACTTTGGCATCCTGGTATTATTTTCATTCCCTGAGACCGGAGGAGAACTGGAGGCTGGATAAAGCCTGGCTAAAAGGAGGCCTGTGACTTATTAGGAGTGATGAATGCAGTGTCCAAAAATAGCCCATGTCTCACTGGGTTCGTGCCCTGCCCAGCAGAGCAGCAATTACAGGGGAACGTGTCTTTAGGGAAACTTGGTTGTGGGTTGTGCAGGAGCTCGCTGGCTCCCTGCTGTGTCAGCCACTCGCTGGGCTGAGCACTGGCCGTGTTTTTTTCCCAGTTTGAAGCAGCACTTAGTTGTTTTCTTAGAGTTAACTCAGGTTTTACCTTGCTGGCAGCTTTTTGGTGGTAGGAGAAAGTATTGAGGGTGGGTAAAACCTGTTTGAACTCACTGATAATTAGAAATGGAGTTGCTGTGTGCTGTGTCTAGGAGAGGCTTTGCACATGTTATTAGATCTTACAGATGTTATAGAATGCACACGTTATTAGGTGTTATTAGACACACACAGGTGTATTTGTGACTGATGCTTTTTGGGATGTGGGAAGAGGTCAGGGATCCCTGGCTGCACACAGGGGTTTGGAGCTGTGGTGGAGGTTCCTGACTGCTGCCCATGTTGGCACAGGAGCTGTCAAAATCCTACAAATAGTTCAGCAACTGCAGAAATACCCTTGTGTGGGTAATCCCCTGCAGGCAGAGAGGCACCAACCTTTGGTGCCCTTTCTAGTGGCAACGTTCCCTGGGCTTAAAGGATGAAAGTCCTGATCTCCAGCTGCAGAGGGGGAATTAAATGAACCCTGGTGAGTGTGGGGTGAGAGGGTTTGGGCTGTGATTCAACAGAGCCAAAAATACCCCATCTTCCCAAAGCGTGGTGCCTCTGGAGTGCTGTAGCTACCATTGTTCAAAATGCTCTGCACGAGCGAGCTGGAAATGTTGCTGATGATCAGTGTGCTTGTCCCTGATGTCGTTTTGTCCTCTCTCCCTGAAGAACTTTGAGGTGGAAGCTGATGACCTGGTGGCCATTTCGGAGCTGGGCCGTGGTGCCTACGGCGTGGTGGAGAAGGTCCGGCACGCACAGAGCGGCACCATCATGGCTGTGAAGGTGAGGGAGGACACCTGAGGGGGACTGGGAGCAGCAGGGGCAGCTCCAAGGGAGCAGAGGAACTGCTGAGCTCACTGGTTGTGGCAAAATGGGGACAGGCTTATCTGGGTTTGGCAGCCCGTGGTGCTCCTGGTGTGGTTTGGCCAGTGAAGGGTCTGTGCTGATCCTGGCACAGAGGGGTTGATAACAGGTTTGGGAATGCAGGATTGGTGCCTGCAGTGCAAGGCTGGGATGTCAGAGTGCCTGTCCAGGCTGCTGGCCTGGCCCTGCATCCTCTGCAGAGCGTGCCAAGGGTTTGGCATTCGTTAAGATTCTGTCTGGCAGAGGCAATTTGGGTGTGTCCTCCTGGCTGCAAAATAAGGATAAAACACCCTGGCTTCAGAACTGCAGGTCCTGAGTCAGGCTGGGGGATGATGGTGTTACCTCACCCACACCAAACCCTTCTTCTTTCATATTTGTCTCAGAGGATTCGAGCCACTGTGAACACTCAGGAGCAGAAGAGGTTGTTGATGGACCTGGACATCTCCATGAGGACAGTTGACTGCTTCTACACAGTCACCTTCTATGGAGCCCTCTTCCGTGAGGTACTGACCTGCTGGCTGCCTGGGGCCACCTGGGGCTGTGGGATGGCACTGGAGGCACCAAACTGTCCCCAAACACCCCCCCTGTGTTCTTCAGCCCAGCTCTTTACCTCCCTTGGATTTCCAGGGAATTCCCTCTCAGCTGCTTTTTCTCCATCTGCAGGGTGATGTGTGGATCTGCATGGAACTCATGGACACCTCCCTAGATAAATTCTACAAGAAAGTACTGGAGAAGAAGAAAACCATCCCTGAAGACATTTTGGGGAAAATGGCTGTGTCTGTGAGTAGCTCTTGGGTTCTTTGATGGGTTTGTTCATGCCCTGAGCCTGCTGGAGGGCTCTCCTGAGGCCTGTGGTGTGTTTGCAGTGAGAGGCTGCTGCTGTGTGTGACTGATGGGTGCTTTTTCACTCTGTTTGTCCCCAGATTGTACGAGCTCTGGAGCACCTGCACAGTAAACTGTCTGTAATCCATAGAGGTAAATGCTGGATGGGGTTAGTGGAGTGTGGCTGGAGATCCAACCTTGAAATAAGCTAGGGGAGGATTCCTTTCCTGGTGTGCTGTGTCACTTTGGGATGCCTAAAGTGGAATCTGCTGATGCTTAGGGCTGTGGTGAACAGATCTAGATGATTGTTCCTGAGATGCTTCCCTTTTTGCAGGATGTTCTCTTCCTCCTTTCCATATGAAGGGTTGAATGTAACAACAGAATTCCTCACTACCTGTATTTTATGAGCATCTCTGTCCCTCTTGGAGTACAGAACTGCCTTGAAGGCAGCTCTTGGAGATAAAATGCCCATATCCTCCTGGCTGGGTAGTTTTAGCAAAGTGAGGGCTGAAGGAGGCCTTACAAAATCGCAGATGGGAATTGTAACATGCAGGTCTTGCTCTCCAGTCCTGGTGAAATCCCTTGTGCAGTTGTGGACAGATCAGGATGTGCATGAGACAAACTGTCATGAAGATTTGGTAGAGCTGTGCTTTTAGGACTGTGCTGGGCACATAAATCTCTCCTAAGGAGCTGGGGATAAACTCCTCATTTTATTTCAACCTTTTGACCTGCCTGGTTGGAGAGGGGACTTTTGTCTCTGAAGGACATGGTTGTAGTTTTACCTGTGAATTATTTTTACTGCAATAAGACTGGTGGGGTTTTGTCTCCCTCCCCTTGTGTTGGGGCCTGCCTGGTCCCTCCCAGGCCTGCAGGGAATTGCCTGTTTTGTCTCAGACTCTTCCACACCCCTGCAAATGCCCAATTTGCCCTCTTGCATTTCCTCTTAGACGTGAAACCTTCCAACGTGCTGATCAACAAGGAGGGACACGTGAAGATGTGTGACTTTGGGATCAGTGGTTACTTGGTGGACTCTGTTGCCAAGACCATGGATGCTGGCTGCAAACCCTACATGGCTGTAAGTGCAACCCTGTGCAGCCCCAAGCCCTGACTGTAAGAGGCTGCTGCTTAGAAATCAGCCTGTTCCACCTCCACCCTGAGATAAAAGCCACTCAAGAGTGCTCTGGCCTCCCTGACTCAGCAGAGCCTCCCTTTAAGCCCAGCTCTGTTAATCCCACAGTGACTCTCCCTCTGCCCCTTCCATTTGCAGAAGGATACAAAACTGGCTGGTGCTGGTTGTGGCAGTGCTCACTGCTCTTTGTTGCACAGAAAGTACTGAGGTTTTTCTTGGCATGATTGTTTAGTTTCACCCTCAAGTCAAGATGAATTTCCCTTTGCTGTCTGTGGGATCCATGTGGGAAGTGTATGCTCCTGAGGCAGGGATCATGCAATCTCACTCTCCTGCAAAGAGGGAGAGCTGATGTGAGTTGTGTGGAGCAAGATGTGGCTTTCATCAGAGTAGATTTAACCTCAGAGCCAGGGAAATACACCCAGCCTGGCTTTTGGAGCCAGAGATTTGCTCTGTGGGGTTTGGGAAAGCAGGAGTGGTAACATCTCCCATTTTGCTTTTACAGCCAGAAAGAATAAACCCAGAGCTGAACCAGAAGGGCTACAACGTGAAGTCGGATGTCTGGAGCCTTGGGATCACAATGGTAACACCAAGGGCTGGGATCTGTGTCTGCAGCCCTGGGGCTGGGGTGGGGTTTGGGCAGGTGGGGCTGTCCCCTGCTCTGAGCAGTGTGGGTGGGTGCCCATCAAGCAGGGCTCAGTTTGAGCCTGGCAGCTCAGGGCACTGTGGATTAATGACCACATTAATGGGAATTCAGGCTCCCAGCAGACAATATCAGGATGACAATGAGTATCCACTCTGAGCATCCAAGAGTCTGGTTTTTAATTGCTCTGCACTTCCCTGCCTGCTGGCTGAGGGGAGGTCAGTGGGGCAGGGCTCAGCCTTCCTGCTTCACCCCCCCGTGTCAGCAGAGCCTTGCAGGGGATTCCAGTCCTGCTGCAGTGAGAGCTGCTGTGTGTGGTTTGCAGCAAATCCTGCCTGTGGGGTTAGCTCAGAGCAGCCAACAGGAAGGGGAAATGCTTTCAGTTCCAAAATTGCAGCTGCTTGGGATGGTTTATCTGCCTCCTGCAAAAAACATCTTGAAGAAAGGAGCTGAGATCCTCTGGCGCCAGCAAAGGAAATCCCAGCTGTTGGCTCCAAGGGATGCTGCCTGAGAAAACAGCTCCTGCTTTCCAGGAGACTCTCTTTCTCTCAGGGTAGATTATCTTCAGGAATTTTTCCTGTGCCCTCTTAGCTGTGGCTTTTGTTTTAGGGGCTGCATCCAGTGTTTGTGCATGCTGTGTCCTGGCAGATATTCCCTTTTCTCCGGTGTGGTCTCATGCACAGTGCCAAACCCAAGCCCCTGTCCCTGGTGTCCCCATGCCAGTGCAGAGCTGGTCTGGCTGACTGGAAATGTCATCAGCTCTGAGCTGCAGGAAGCTGTGGGATGGGAGACTCTGAGTGATGGAATATCCAAACCTTTCCAAAGCTGGGAGGGAGAGAGAGGACCTTGCTGAAAGCTGGCCAGCCTGCAGCTGAATGGAGCCCCAAAATGTTTGGTTCCCTCTCGTGTCTTTCTCCTGGGCTGGCTTCCTTTTTGTTTTATTTTCTTTATGAAGGGGATGGATTGATTTCAGAGCAGACAGTTTGTGGGCTGTTGAGTTGCAGGGCTATTCCAGACCTTCCTGGGCTGGTGGCTTCATTCAGTTTTGCAGGAGCTGAGCTCCCCTGACCTGAGCCAGAGGCAGGGAGGAACCCTGGGCTCTGTCCCAGTCTGTCCTTTCAGGTTTGTTATTCCTCCCATCCCATCACACCCTACCAGGCAGGTCTCAAGGTTCTGTTGCCCATTTTGAGAGAGAAACTGATCCTTGGAATGAGGAGTCTGCCCAAGAGCTGTGACAGAGTTTTTCCTGCTTGAATGAGGGATGGAGCAGAGGTGACTTGTAGGAAGAACCCAGTAATTGAGGTGGTTTTGGCAAAATGACGTTGTAGCACTTAGTTTTTCTTGGGTTTGTGGATTTTTTGTGGGTTTAGCTCATGCAGTGCCAGCCCTAGGCCCAGAGGCTGCCTTAGGGCCAGCAGAGCACTTTGGAAGCCAGTGCAGAAACTCTGTGCTGTTATTATTATCTTTTTAAATAATCCCATTTTACATATCTTTTGTGACTTCCTGTAAATGCATTAATATGCTGAACCAGCCTCAAAAGGAAGTATTTTTGGCCTCTGGGTCTTTGTATTTAAAAAAAAAAAAAAAAAAAAAAAAAAGTGGTGTGACCCAAATTGAAAATGGTTTGTAAGGAAAGAGGGTTTTCCTTTGAATCTGAGCTGGCTGAGCATCGTGGGGTTGTGCTGGGTGTGTGTGTCACGTTGCCCTGCCTCCATCCCCAGATTGAGCTGGCCATCCTGCGCTTCCCATACGAGTCCTGGGGGACGCCCTTCCAGCAGCTCAAGCAGGTGGTGGAGGAGCCCTCGCCCCAGCTGCCGCCTGAACGCTTCTCCAAGGAGTTCGTGGACTTCACAGCACAGTGGTGAGGCTCCAGCAGGGACTGCTGGCTCTCCCAGCCTGGCTGAGGAGGAGCCCTGGTCTGTAGGGGCTGGCTTTGCTGTCCTTTGGGAGCCCATTTCTCCCCTCCTCGCTGTACCTGGTGCTCAGCGTGGCAGGAAGCGCTGCCCAAACTGGTTTTGTTCTCAGCTTGACTCACCCAGACTGGCTGGAAGGTGCAGAGGTTTCTCTTCCCCTTTTCCTGTCACTGCTGCTGAAATGCTGGTGTTTTCTGGCAAAGTGGCAGCAAAACCAGAACCAAGCCCTGGCAGCCTCTGGGTGAAAGCTGCCTTGTGGTTTTGTGGGAAGCTGCTCCCCCCAGGGTGTCCCCTGCTCCCTGGGTGCTGCCTGGAACTGCCAGGCAAAGGCAAGCTCACCCTGCAGGTGTTGGGAAACCATAACCTCTCCTTCTCAGTTGTTCTGGTCTCTGTGGTGCAGACTGCAGAGCTGCTTGGCTTGTGCTTTTTGTGGCAAAACACTGAGTTGTCCTTCCCCAGTCACCTGCCTGGCTGCTTTGCTGATGCTTCAAACCTGCTCAGCCAAGGGGGGAGAGGGATGGGTGCAGCCCAGGGGAAGCATTTCATGTTGGGTGAGAAGGGGAGGACCCCTATGACAGACCACATACAGCAAAACAAAAAGATGCTACAGCCTTTCTCTCTTTTTTTTTTTTTTTTTTTTTTTTCCTTCCAGCTTAAGGAAGAACCCAGCTGAGCGAATGAACTATTTAGAACTTATGGTAAGTTCTGCTGGTCTTTATTCCTGATTTTGAAACTCAAATCAGTGGTCCAGCAGGGAAATGGGAGAACACATGGGTGATTTTTCAGGCACAGGGCAGGATGTGTTCATTTCATGGGTTTTAAGGTCAGGGTTTCCAGGTGTTTTCTCCCTCTGTCCTATCTGCTCTTGGAGAGTTTAGACCTCGAAGGATGCTAGTACAGCTAGGTGGGGTGTCCCACTGGGGCTGAACCTAGGGAAATTCATCTTTTAGCTGAAGAATGGTGTCCATGGGAGTCTGGGGAGGAGGTTGGAGTCCACCTCCAGCTGTGTGACATCCCCCGGGGTCTGTGCTTGGCTTTGGTGTCATCTGACGTTTTCTTTGATCTCCTTGGCAGGAACATCCTTTCTTTACCTTGCACGACACCAAAGAGACTGACATGGCCTCCTTTGTGACAGAGATCCTCGGGGAAGACTCCTAACTCCCAGCCCCCAGCTTCCTGCAGTCCCTCCATCCCAGCTTCCCCGCAGGACAGCGAGCGAGGACTCGAGTTCACGGTGGTTTGCACAAATCACAAATCATCACAAATCGCACCTCCCCGGCCCGGGGGCATCTCTGGCCCCATCCAGAAATCTCTTTTCTCTTTGCCCTGAGAAAAAAATCCTCCAGGAGGAGCCTTTTGAAGCCAACATCTTCCCAGCCAAGCCAAGGACTCTGGAGGTTCCAGGAGAGGAGCAGTGCCTGAGCAGGCAGAGGGTGCCAGAGGCCACCTCCCCTCCCCAGCACCCAGTGCACAGCACAGGGGGTTGTGTTTCCTTGCTGCCAGGGGAAGACAGAGAGAACCAGTGCTGCTGGTTCTTCTCCCACTCCTCTCCTGCCTGCCCAAAGCCCCTTCCCTGGAGTCTGGCCTCACTCGCCTTCCCTCTGTGCCTGGCTCTCTGTCCCCAGGAGCCCACACAGCTTTAGGGGCTTGTGGGGCTCCCTGGGCTGCTGCTCACATCAGAAGTTGTTTTAATGCCTGGCTCGACACCTCAAGGACCTTTTGAGGCAGCACCAGCTCGGGCATCCCCCTCCCTCAATCAATGCTGCTCCCTTGAGGGGGGAACAAAGGGGGAAAGGCATTTTTCCACGAGCCCACTGTGACACAAGCTGCAGCCCACGCTGTGCCCATGCCTGCCCATGAGACTTCATCCCTTCCCTCGTGGGCACGAGGTGATGGAGAGACAGCAGATCCCCAGTGCTGCCTCTCCTCCTTCCAGCCCTGGGCTGGGAGGACAAATCCCTGCTCCAGGCATCGCCTTCCACAGCCCTGGCTGCCTCCACCATCCCTGGCTCCCTGAGAAGACGCTGCTCCCTCTGCTTTCCAACCTGGAGCTGATGTCAGACCCTGCACTGTGACACCCGCTCCTTCCAGAGGCTGAACTCGTGTCCCAAACTGTCCCCACCCCTGTGGGTGCCAGCGAGAGCCAAACCCCAGTGACTGGCCCGGGGCTGCCAGCAGTTGTACATTTGATGTCTATATATAATGGACTTTGTAACGTGTTTCCTAGGTTTGATCTAACTCGCTATAAATTAAAGCCCTTCTGTGTGGGAGGAGGGAGGAGCAGTTCCTTCTCTGCTGACAAATCCACTGTGAAAACCTGATGTGTTTCCCCACGCTCCCAGCCTGAGGAGCCAGGGGAGCAGGAGGGGTTTCTGGCTTCTACTGTACATGATCACAGATAAACGCACCGGCTGTGGATTTTGGTTTTGGGTTTTTTTTGGTTTTTTGTTGTTTTTTTTTTTAAATAATTGAGTTTTTCCGAAGGATTTTTTTTTCTTTTCTAATATATATTTGTGTGTGTGTATGTGTGCTCTATATATATTATATATTTTTAAATCAATGATGAATGTGTGGATGTCTATGTGGCCAGCAGATCTGGTGTAATAACATTTTTCTGGCTAAATTAGGGCAGGTGGGGAAGGGGTCACTAGAAAACACTCTGGCCTAAGATTTTTTTCTTTCTTTTTTAAAGAAATGCATCTATTTTTTAACTGAATCTTTTAAAAATGTTATTCCTGAAATTCATGCCCTGGAGGTCTGGATTTCAGGGTGAATTTCAAGTGTTCAGGGTCCCCCCCTCAATGAAGAATGATGTCCCCTTAAATTCATTATCCCCCCTCCTGCAGTCCAGGGTTTGATGCAGTGCTGGGGACCCCCTTCCTGGGAACTGGGGTGCTCCACACCGTTTATCCCCTGCTTTTTTGGGGCAAATGGTTTTCAGTCCTTGATGCATCACACAGCCACACTTTTCCCTGTGCCATCCCTCTGATCCCCCTCCCTGAGTCAAGAAACCCTGGAGGAACCAGCCCAGGTGGAGCTGCACAAACCCTGTTCAGCTTCAGTTCAACCCTGACCCCCCAGCCCACCTCTGGATGGAAAATAAGGAAGTGATTGATGTTCTCCATGTCTCCCTCCTCCTCATCCTGCTCTGCAAACCACCCGACACTCACCTGTACCTGCTTGGTTTGACAGCTTTGCTGCTGAGATGTACAATTGTATTTTTTTTTTTTGTAGTTGGTTACTTTGGATTATTTTTGTTTTGAGTTGAGCTTTGGGGTTTTCTCCCTTCTCTCTGTGTTTAATCCCTTTCCCCCTTCCTTAATCTCACCCTTTTTTGGTGCTTTGGGGAACGGTGTTAATTAAAAAAAAAAAATTTTTTTTTGCATGCTTTTTATTTTTTTCTGCATTTTTCCTCCTGGACAAAGTCCTAATTTCTGTATTTTGGGATAAGGGAGCATCTGCCCTTTGAAACACGGGAGATGGTTCAGGGGTGGGCTTGAGCCCCTGTGGATGAGCTGAGGCTTTGCTGAGGAGGCAAACACACCAACACCTCCCCATGCCATCTCCTCTGCTTCACTCAGCACAGGTCTTACCTGTCCAAATCCCATGTCCCTTTTCACCTGCCTGCTTCCCTGTCCCACCTTGCTCCCTCTGCAATGTCAGCTCCCTGGGGAGAACCAGCTTGGCTTAAGGTGGGTGAGGATTTTGGCTCTCGTGGGAAGCCCCTCTCCCCTTGTATTTTTGGGAATGGTCTGTACCCCTCAACCCCCATCCTTGATTCTAATAAAATTCACCCTCAAACCCACTGCCTGTCTCCTCTTGTTGCTGTTTGAGCATCAGCTGGGGCCTGTTTGGGACAGCAGCTTTCTCCTTATATTGTGGGGTGATGCTGCTCCTGATTTGGGGGCTGTACAAGCTGTGACCCTTGGGATGGCATCCCTGGAGCAGCCCCCCTGGGACTGGGGTGGCAGGAGCCTCTGGAGAGCTGCTGGTTCCAATCTGGGGCTTGTACAACCTGGGAACCCCAAAGCAGCATCCCAGGAGTGGGACCTGGGGAGCGCTGCCAGGGGTTGCCCAGGGTTCTGCTGCTCTTGCGGCTGGATCGGAGGGTGTGGGTGTGGGATTTTGGGGCTCACCGTCTATCGGGGATCCCCCCTCGAGTCCAGGATCCCGGGGCAGCACGCGCTGCCCGCGGCCGCGAGGGGGAGGCAGCGCCCGGCACCGGGACCGGGACCGAGCGGGATGAGCCTGGATCCGGGGAGATGAACCTGGATCCGGGGAGATGAACATCCACCGACCGGGACAAGCCGGGATGAGCCTGGATCCACGGGATGAGCCAACCCCACAGGGATGAACATCCACCGGACCCGGCGGGATGAGACTGGATCCGAGGGGATGAGCCTGGATCTGGGGGGATAAGCCTGCATTGGGGGATGAACATCCACCGGGAACCGGCGGGATGAGCCTGGATCTGGGGGGATGAACATCCAGGCTGGATGAGCCTGGATCCTCGGGATGAGCCTCCACCGACGGCAAAACTCGGAATCCCCCCATTTCCATCCCAACCTGCTGTCGCTCTCCTCTCGGCACTTCCCAGCCTTCCCTCGAGGATGCGCGGCCGGGATTAGAGCAGGGGGGTCGGGAGGATCGTGCCCATGGAGGATGGAGCTGCAGGTTTGGCAGTAAGGAAACAGATCCATTCCCAAATATTTTCCCTGTCAGCCCTCTCCAGGCAGGATCAGGCCGGGGACACGGGGTCCCTCAAACACCGGGGTCTTGGTGGAGACGCTTTGCCTGGAAATGGGGCTGGGGGTGATCAGCGATGCTGGGGAGAGCAGGGACCCCAGGAACACCCATCCCTGTGATGTGGGGACATGCTTGGAGGGGGCCCGACCTGCTGAGAGCTGGAGTCTGCTCTGTTCCAATTACCAGCTTAATAGCTACATCGAGACCATTAAAAATGCATCAGTGCCTCCGAGGAAAGAACTTCAGGAGAAGTGGAAAATTCATCACTTTGAGTTCCCTTATTAGGAGAAAAGGTGTTTTTTTTCCCCCCCATTTGTCTCAAACAGAGGCAAAAAGAGGTTATTTCTGCCTGGTGACTCCCCCATGGGACTGTCACGAGGTGTGAACAGGCAGTGCCCAAACCTGGGTGAGAAGGACACAGCTCCTGCTGCAGAGAAGGGAAAACTCAGCACATCCAACACAGGCAGGGGGCATGGGGACCGTCAGGGCTGCAGCAGCTCGGTCCTCCTCAGATGAAGGGCCAACAGCTTTCCCTGTGCTGGGAACACGTGTTGGGAGCATGCTGTGATAATGAGCGAGGCAGCGACCCCAGGAAGGTGCAAAGGAGAGAAATTTACCTTCGTTGCCAAAAACCCGGCCTTTTTCAGCAGTTAGCTGGTTATCAGTTTACATTGTTTTAAGGCACAACAAGCCCAAGTCAAGCAACCACCATCCACCACGATGTGGACATGCTGCAGTCACACAGAACATCTCTCACGTCTCTCTACCCCTGTTCCAGCTGAGTCACTCTCCCATAGCTCCCTTTGCCTTAGCCTGAGCAGGCTGGAGCCATGTTCCAAGGCCTTCCCTTTATAAAGCCTTACATACCAGTACCATGAGCAGTCCCTCTGGAAGGACAGACCCCATTGTGCTCCCCCAGTACAGTGCAGGTGTTTGTACTGGTCATACTGGTCCTTTGCAGGGGTGGTTCATCAGGAACTGTAGTGGTAGGACAAGGAGTAGCGGGTTCAAACTGAAAGGGGGAAAACAAAGGTCTGATACACGTAAGAAATTCTTGGCTTTGAGGGTGGTGAGGCGCTGGCACAGGTTTCCCAGAGAAGCTGTGGATTCTCCATCCCTGGAAGTGTCCAAGGCCAGGTTGGATGAGGCTTGGAGCAAGCTGGGATAGATGAAGGTGTCCCTGCCCATGGCAGGGGATTGGAACTGGATGATCTTTAAGGTCCCCTCCAACCCAAACCATTCTGTGCTTCCATTCTCTGGTGGTTCTCTCCAGGAGCTCCGGAGCTGGAGCTCACGCTGTTCCTAAGAGCCGTGTGCGGAGGAGGGCTGGCTAATGGATTAGCAGGGGGTGTGATGATGCAGCCAGTTTTCTGGGGCTGAGGGTTATTTATTTTGCTTAATTTTTCTTTTATTTTTCAGATGGTGGCTGAGCCCGTATCTAGGACAGGGGTGGTTTTTTTTTTTTTGGTTCGGGTGGCCTGTGTGTACCTTGTCGCTCGATATTGTAAATTAGTGAGTTCACCCCGGCCAGGGGCTTGTACGAGACATGTTCAATCCTCCCCTAATAGCTGCCTCACCCAGAAACTTCCAAAGCTCTTGTAGCACCTAAGCACTAATGAGCTGAAGCTGCAGAATAGCAATGAGGCCTCAGGAATATGGATCAGCCTTTCCTGGCCCAGCCAGAGGCTCTAAAATCGTTTCAGCTGGCACTCAGAGGGACCAGTGCAGCCCAGCTGGGAAGGAAAGTTTTAAGTGAGGTGCATTGGGTAGAGAAATCTTTGCTGCCCATGAGGAGCTACTGGGGATGTCTCCTCTCCAAACAGAAGTGTAGCTGGCTTGTAGCTGGCTTGTTTTGAGGTGAGGAGAGCTCAAACTCTGGTTTAACCACTGATATCCAGGTGCTTTAGTGCCCTGCCTTTTCCCCCTGATAAATGATCATCCCTGGCTATGAGTTTCTACGTTTTGCTTTGTTTTTACTGCTGGCTTGGACAAAGCATCTCCAAGCACTTTCTGCCTGTCCCAGCAGCCTGGTTAGCACACCCAGCCCCACAGTGTGTGTATTTATCGAGTGAGTTGTGCCACTGATCCATGCACGGCAGCTTTGCTGCTCCATCCCCTGGGAATTGCCCAGGTCCAACAGCAACTCCCCATCAACGGAGTGCTGGAAAAAACTGGGGTGATTTCTGCTGGAGCCCCAAACCGGAGGGGAAAAACTCCTGGCTTGCCCAGCAAATACCAACCTCCAGCCTTCCCTCTCAGCTTGAAGCTCCTATTGATTTTTCAGAGGTGGGAATGCTGGTGGGGGAACGTGGGGGTGGGAGAAGGAAGCCTCAGCAGCGCAAAGCCTGAAAATATCAAAGCTCGACGCCAGCGCTTCGGGGGTGACCGGGGAGGTCACCGGGCCCGCAGGGAGCCCCGGTCCCCCGGCGGGTTTGCCGGGAGCCTTTCCAGCCCCGAGAGCGGCGGCTCTGGCCCCTCGCATGCTGTGTTAACCTTTCTGGAAATACCAAGCGGAGCTGGAACACGCTGTTTATTTCCAGACACCGGGAGCGGCGGCGGGCGCTGCGGGAACGTGGGCAGGGGGCTGAGAGGAGCCACGGTGGCTTTTGCACTTGATTTACATCTCGGAGCAGCTCGGGGTGGAGGAGGAGACAGAAACCTTGATGAGCCAAAGCTGCTACCTTGATATCAGCTGTGTTTTCCTCAGTGTCA